CCGCTCCAGATTCACTCGCTAGCTGCGCCAATCCCGCCCGAAGACATCCGCATCTCTCCCCACTTTTCCTCCACGGCCCTGCTCGCAGCTCCCTTCACCAGACCAGGTTCAAGTCAACTGACTCGAGTCGCGGGCTCCACCAGCCTCCTGGGCTATTTGGTGGCATGTGCCAGCTTGCCAACGCCAGCTCACCGAACTCCTTCCACGCTTTGCTACGCTCTGTGGAATGCTGTACTCGCGTGCCCCCCCCACCTCGTCAGAAAGCAGGGTCCGAACTGGCTGCCAGATCACCGCCCCGCACTGCCACGGCCACCACCCACTTGTCCACCTGGTCGTCCTTCAAGGTGGCTGATTCCGTGAGTGAGCGGATCAGGAAGAGCTGGCGACACCATCTGGGACGACGGTCTCTGCGAGTGATCTTCTCTTCCCGATGTTGTTCACCTCGGTGCTGCGCCTGCCGCGCGCAACTCTTCCTGCAACCGATGTGCCGAAAGCCGCGTTCGCGTGTCGGTCTCATCGTAGCGTTCCAAGACTGACTCGCTGCCATCAACTTCCTTCTTCTCAATCATCTGGTCCCTTTGGATCTTCCACTAAAGTGACGTTGATCTGCCGTAGGAATCCCACCAGCCCTCTAGGCGCAGGTGGTCTATAGCCGTTTGTCTTCCACCAGCTCCCTATTTCGCCTTCGGGGAAGGGTTCGTGACTGTTCCATATTAGTATACAAACCCTCCCTCACCTGGCCGGCGGCCAACCCGGAACCATGCCGACTCCATGCGGGCCCGTCCCCCACTATCCCTGACAAAATACACGATAAACCGCACTCTGCCTCCACAAGAGGAGCATGCTCGGCCAACCCGATGTGCCCCCCCCACCATCCCTATCAAAAAGCAAGGCAAAGTACACGTTGGGGCAGAATCTTGAGTCATGTTCGTAAGGCCCGCGAGCACCTTGTATTGTTTTTGACAAGGACGGTGGGGGTGTCAGCATATTCCCTGCTGTGCAGAGGGCCACCACCCCTGACAGAAAACAATACAACATGCATCTCGCGGCTACATCTGGATCATGCGCGGCCATCCCGCGATCACTGTCAAGTGAATTTTGACAGGAACGGCAAGGGTGGTGGCGCCTGGCCTGCTGTGCAGAGGGCTACCACCCCTGACAGAAAACAATACGTAGCACCCCGCAATTGCGGATAATAGTGAGGGGGCGGGCGCGGGCGACGCGGGCGTCGTCGAGCAGGCGGACCTCGTGGCCCTCACCTTCCCTGTCGATGGCGCTCTCCTCCTCCTCCTCCTCCTCCTCCTCCTCCTCCTCCTCGTCCTCGTCCTCGTCCTCGTCCTCGTCCTCATCCTCATCCTCCTCCTCCACCTCGGCCTCCTCCTCCTCCTCTTCTTCCTCTTGCTCCCTCTCCCCCCCTCGTCCTTTCATCATCGTCCTCCCATTGTCGTCCTCCCCCTCATCGGCCTCCATCATCGTCCTCCCATTGTCGTCCATCATCATCATCATCATCATCATCCTCATCCTCATCCTCATCATCATCATCATCATCATCATCATCATCATCATCATTATCATCATCATCCCCCTCCTCCCCCCCTCGTCCTCCTCCTCCCCCTCCTCCCCCTCATCGTCCTCCTCGTCCTCCTGCTCCTCCTCCTTTTCTTTCTCCACATTCTCCTTTCCTCCTCTCTTCTTCCGCGTCCTCCTCCTCCCCTGTTTACTTCTCCTGCCTCCCCCTCCTTTCCCAAGATATCTGCAACACAATCCTGTTTTCCACTTTATGCTCCCCGACTTCTCTGATCAAGACAACTCGCCAGGGCAAAGTTGCTGGACGGGCTGGTGTGGATGCGCGGGGCTTGAAGAGGTCATTGCGGGCCCAGACGGCATGCAAAAATCTGCCGCCGCGCTTGTGCGGCATTGGTTTGTTCAGTGAACGTGGTTTGGGTCGCGGGTGGGTCGCGGGCTCTCCACCTCCACCTGGAAGGAATGCAAAAGCAGCCCGCCGCAGGCGCCGATAAAAATTGGTTTGTACACTGAACGTAGTTTGGGTCGCGGGTGGGCCGCGGGTTCTCCACCGGGAACGAATGCAAAAGATGCCCGCCGCAGGCGCCGAAAAATGTGGTTTGTACCCTGAACGTGGTCGCGGGTGGGCCGCGGGCTCTCCACCTGAAACGAATACAAAAGATGCCCGCCGCAGGCGCCGAAAAATGTGGTTTGTACCCTGAACGTGGTTTGGGTCGCGGGTTGGTCGCGAGTTGGTCACGGGGTGGGTCGCGGGCTCTCCACCTGGAAGGAATGCAAAAAAAACCCGCCGCAGGCGCCGAAAATTGTGGTTTGTACCTTGAACGTGGTTTGGGTCGAAGGTGGGTCGCGGGTGGGTCGCGGGGTGGGTCGCGGGTGGGTCGCGGGTGGGTCGCGGGTGGGTCGCGGGTGGGTCGGGTGGGTCGCGGGTGGGTCGCGGGGTGGGCCACGGGCGGGTCGGGGCGGGTCGGGTGGGTCGCGGGGTGGGTCGCGGGGTGGGTCGCGGGGGTGGGTCGCGGGGTGGGTCGCGGGGTGGGTCGCGGGGTGGGTCGCGGGTGGGTCGCGGGTGGGTCGCGGGGTGGGTCGCGGGTTGGGTCGCGGGTGGGTCGCGGGGCGGGTTGCGGGTGGGACGACGACAACAAGCAACAAAAAACAACAACAACAACAACAACAACAACAACAACAACAACAACAATCACTTTACCCGAACGCTCAGTGTTCTCACCAGTGCCAGGGTTTTCATGCGACGCCAGCCAATACCCCCACTTTGTGGGGGGGCAGTGCAAGCTCTACCAAATATCCACACGACTCTTCGCCACCACCCACACCCAGCTTCCCGCCCTATGACGTTCGGACACTTCACTTCGTGGCCTGCGGACGACCGTGGCTACTACACTGGCGTGGAGTACACACCCACAGAAGTTGTTAAGCCTACGTTCGTACACCCACAGAAGTTGTTAAGCCTTGTGAACCCACAGAAGTTGTTAAGCCTTCCACAGAACATCTGTTGCATATGATGCATATGGTACATGATGCGCGGTGCTAAAATTCTTAAGAAGCCCAATGGTTTTTGGAGATTTCGGCGTGCGCGCGCGAAGAAAAAACGAATGTGTCCCGCATGGTATTATTTGACAGGGATGATGGCCCTGGCAGGTGCGCAACCGTTGTCGCAGAAGTTCGAAAAAGTTGCTCGCAAAAGCCCGTTTGACAGAAATGTTTAAAAAGTGTTGGGTTTCCTACGAATCCGCAAGAGCGCGCGGGATGAGATTTTGACATTTTTTTGTTGAAAAACCATTGGTTTTTTGATGTTTTTATGTTAAAATCGCTGCGAACACTAAGGTTTTGGAAGGATTTCGTCTTGCGCGCGCGAATGTCCACTTTACCTTATTTTTTGCAAGGGATTCTTGAAATTTGATTATATTAGAACAAGAAATGTCATTTTCTATTGTTTTTTGCAAGGGAAAGCGGATTACAACAAAACAACCGGATCCTGTACACACCCTCTTTTCTGAGGCTTCCTCACGAAAATGATGAAAATGTAGCTGCGGCCTAGGCGGCGCAGGGGGGGCGCGCACCAGGGGGCCCAACAATAATTATTCTTTAGAATAAATAATGTTCAACAACAAACAACAACAAACAACAACAACAACAACAACAACAACCAACAACAACAACAACAACAACAACAACAACAACAACAACAACAACAACAACGATAATCCGCACCGCGGAATTCCACTTCAGCCACGCACCCAGGGACAGTGAATGACCGTTCAGCCCCCTCACTCTGACAACATGCATCTCGCGGCTACATCTGGATCATGCGCGGCCATCCCGCGATCACTGTCAAGTGCATTTTGACAGGAACGGCAAGGGTGGTGGCGCCTGGCCTGCTGTGCGGAGGCCGACCAGACACAATGACGGGCACTGTTTTTCGACAAGGATGGCGGGGGCCGGCATGTTTCCTGATGTGTGCTGTCACGTGCACTGGCGCACCTGACGCACTCTGCACGTGCCCCGAACGTGGCGCACCTGGCGCGGCTGGAGTGTGCGGCACACTTGGCGCACTCGGAGCACGTGGCGCATCTGGCGCACCAGGCGTGCCTGGCACGCTCGGGCTCCTGGGGTGCCTGGCGCGGGTGGCGCCCCTGGCACGCGTGGCAGACCTCGTCGAAGCGTAACGCACCGGTCGGCGTTGGTTCCCAGTAGCTGTCCATTCGAAGACGACCGCTGAACATGCTCAGGCTTTGATGTTACTCATGTGTTGGGAGGGCGGGTGGGAGTGAGATAAACCGCTTGCGGGCGGGTGGGTAGCTTGACCCCTCCCCCTACCCCTTCCCCTGGACCTGGAGGTGAGGGGGGTTCGCGAGGCGGTGCAGTGTCCAAGGTGGCCCAAGATGGCTGTAGGAGGGCCTCAGAGAGCCCAAGTGGCCTCCAAGATGGCTCAAGATAGCCCACGATGGCTCAATATGGCTCTCAAAAATACCCCAAGAGGCCCAAAGACCGCTCCAAGACGGCCCCGAGTGGCCACGGAGCCTCCCCAGCAGGCCGCCAACAGGCCACTCTCCTTCTCGCCTTTTCGCTTCTGATAGCCATCCGAGGCCTCAAGACAACTAAATGAAAGAGGGCCCCTTTAGGGCCCAAGGGAGGCCCAAGAGAGCCCCAAGACGGTCCCAAGAGCGCCCAAGAGCGCTCCAATGGCGCCCCAAGAGGGGCCCAAGAGGCGTGTGTTGGGGCTCTCGAGGGGGGAACGTAATTGGAGCTCCCAATGACTCCCAAGAGTCCTGAAGAGGGCCCCAAGAGGCGCCAAGGAGGCCTCAAAAGGCGCCCAAGAAACCCCCAAGAGGCTCCCGAGAGACCCCCAATAGGCCCAGAGAGGCTCCCTGAGGCACCCAGGACGTTCCAAGAGCCCCCCAGGACCGCCAAGAGGCCCAAAGACGCTCCAAAAGGGTTCCACAAAGCTTCCCAGAGACATCCGAGGAGATTCTGAGAGGCAACTCGCCCTGGCATCGTTTCTGGACGGCTGGTGGGGATACGCGAGCGTCAAGAATTTGGAACAGGTGAACCAGTTACAGATCTTCTCTTTGTGGAAAAACTCCCATCGAGCTGCTTTGAGATTGTCAGGGTCGAGCGGCGTGTTCCAAATGGCACTCCCGCTTGGCCTCGACCTGTGGTGGGGCTTCCACTTCGGTCAGATAGATGCATCGGGTCGTCAGAATCCTCCCACGCCTTGCCCTTCGCCTTCTGGAACTGCGGGGGGGAGGGCCTGGCCGGTTTCCACCCGCCCAAAGCGCTCACAATGGCTCTCTGGCGCCCGGATGCGCACGTCGCAGCGGGGAGAACCGGGGGCGCCGTGCCTCGCAGCCACCTTCCTGGGGAAGGCGTCCAGCATCTGGGGGCAAGTGAAAATAGACGTACTCATGTCAGCTGCACGTTGGCTGCGTACTCATGTCAGCTGCTCTGGCGAAAACCAGTCGTTTTGGCGACATGTGTGTCAGTCGCCACCGAAGAGGAATGGGAAACGCTGGGCCCACCAAGAGCGCTGCCAGGCACTCCAGGAGCTCCAGGTTCCCCACTTCAGCACTATCGAGCCGACACAGAATATCGATCCCACAATTTTCCAATACAGCGACCCTTGGGTCATGAGGCGATGCGCCACGCGGCCCTGCCACTTCTCAGGCATCTCAAGGATCGCAACGGTAATGCCGAGTTCCGCGGGCAGCCCAACAGCTGATGATAGCGCTCGGCACCTTGCCCTGTCCGCCAGGACGACCCCAGAGCCAGCTTAATGGGGCATGCTCTCGACCACTGGCGCACACCAGCCTCCGCAGACGGGTCCTGGGTGATCTTCCGGACGCAGAATACCTGCGGCATATCCAGCTTATTCACGAACGAAGCGTGGGCATTGATAGTGCACGCTGTCAAAAAAACAAGGAAATCTGTTCACTGACTGCTGGCGGTCGGCCCTCCTGCATTTCAGGACTTGCTTTGCTTGCGGTGGAGTAGGTCTCGGAGAACACCCTTCATCGTCCAAGACACAAGCGATGCTAGGCTGTGGTTTGGCCCAGCGGCGATACCACTCGCTGCGTCCGTGAACTGGCCCACACCCTCACTCGCGACTCGCCTCCTCAGGAGGCAACGTTCCGAATTTGGCCTTCAACGCCTCGGATGTGTTCATTGTCCTCGGCATCCCCTTCAGGCCATGCCCTCCGGGCCCGTCCAGGGCCCCCACCAAGCCGTGAATGCAGGAGGACGCGAGGGTCGCAGAGAACTCCATCGGCGGCGTAGCTGCCACGGCCGTGGCCGCCAGGCTGCCACAGCACAGACTGCGCAGGAGCAGCAGCTGCTGCCCGACGGACAGCCTCATCAGCCGCCAGACGCTGCCGAGCAGTGGGGGCGGGCTGGCCCGTGCGTGTCCCCGGTGCTGAGGATGACGCCGCGCCCGTGGGCACTCCCGCCGTCGGTTGGGCAGCCGCGGCAGCTGCGCCTCCCTCCGCTGGTTGCCCTGCGTCGGTCTCTCGTTTCTTGCTCTCGAGGCGGGCCATCTGCTCCTTCGGATGTGCCGCGGGTGCCTGCGCCTTCTGCATGGCCCCTCAGATGGCGTTCGCGCCATCCGTCTGGATCTCCTGTGCCACAATGGTCTTCCTGTTCTCGAGATCCTCACGGTCCGCTGGGTCAAGGAAATAGCCCACCAGCACCTTGTCCGTCCCGAGGAAGTCGCCGACCGTGAACATCTCCTCCATCTACACCCTGCCCTCCACCAGTTCTCGGATGCTGATGGTCGGGGCCGACTTCTGATCGGTCCCTCCGTACCAGCTTGTGCTGGGTATCGGACGGAGCGCCGAACACCTCCTCGAGAGCAGCCGAAAGCTGGACCGGAGGGTCAGCCAGTCTTGACACCAATTCCTCAACGCCTGCACCCCAGCGCTCCAGCTCGTCCATATATCCGCGTTGATCTGTTTCTCCAGGGCAGCCTGACAACGTTCAGCCTTCTGCCATCGTTGACGAGCCGACGGCACCCGAGGAAGTGAAGGATATTTCGATGTCAGAGCGTTGTAGCGCCTCGCACCCGTGCTGTCCCCGTCCTCATGCGCCAGCCCCTTGCGCCTCTACAGGGGGATGGCCGCGACTAGTTCAGGTAGCAGGTCGCAGAGCAGGGCCGTTGGAGCTCTGCGCGCACTCCACTCGTCGACCTTGCCCTTGCCGCCCGCCTGCCCCCCAATAGACATGCCGCACTGATTGTCCGTGCTGTGGTCCTCGCCATACCCAGGGTTGGACCGAGATGCTCCGCAGTGCCTTCAGCACAGGGAACCCTCAGTGTTCTTCCCGCCCGGCCTTTGGAGCCGCTCGCCATGAACCAGAGCTCGTCATTGGGGGTCGCAGGAGGGAACATCCTCGACTCCGGCCGAGTATACGTCCTTCCCCATCGCCTATGACGCTTCGCGGCCCACGGCCGTCGGGCTGACCAGCCGCGGACCGCGTCAGCATTGCGTCCGCACCCGCCTGTCATGCGTCGCCCCGACAGGAACTCATCAAATCAAACGCGCGCCACGGCCCGCGAAGGCAATGCCCTTCTGAAGGCTTCCTGTTGCAAGCCAATGCCTCCCTAACAGGCGGGGAGGGAAAAAAGAAGAGGAGCAGGAGGACAATGAGTGAGGGTGTGGAGGACACACTGATATGATGATTGTTGGTTAAGTGTGATGGTGGTCGTGACACTGATGATGATGCAGATGATGGTGTTGCTGCAGCGAGTGATGAGAGGGAGTGGTGCTGACGATGCTGATGATGATGATAATGATGACGGTGATGATGATGGTGATGGCTAGGATGCTGATAATCCAGATGATGGTGGTGACGATGACAATGATTATGATTATGATCATGGTGATGGTGCAGATGATGATAATGATGATGGTGGTGGTGATACAGGGGAGCGCGATGATTACGACGACGATTATGCTGATGATCTTGATACTGATGATGATAATGATATATCGATGGTGATGACGACGATGATGACGATGATGACGACGATGATGACGACGATTATGATGCTGCTGCTGATGCTGCTGCTGCTGATGATGATGATGATGATGATGATGATGATGATGATGATGACGACGATGGCGATGGTGGCGGCGGCGGCGGCGGCGGTGTTGGCGATGGTTGGCGTTGGCGGTGATGGGCGTAATTAGCGGAGATGGTGCTCATGACACCGAAGACGAGCAGCAGCTGGAGGAGGAGGAGCTCGAGGCAGGGAGCCGAGGGAGAGTGGAAAGGGGGCTGGGACGGCGGGCGGCCCAGCGCGGCGGCAGGCGGTGCGGAACCGAGCGCGCCCCGGCCACCGCCCCCCGCGGGGCACGGCCCCGGAGGCCTCCGCGGAGGGCACCGCTCGCTCCGCCAACGAGGCGCTCCCGTGGCCTCGGGCCGGAAAACTGGGCGGGCCCCAGGCGGCTCCAGGGCGGGCCCGAAAATTAAGAGCATCGTCCCTGCTCCTCCTCCCCACCCAACCCTCCCTTGTTCCTCGTCATCGCGCCCTTCCTCCCGCACCCCCTCCCTCCCTCTCGCCCTCTTCCTCCTCCTCACCGCTCTCCTCGCTCTCCTCTTTCTCCTCTTTCTCCTCGTCTTCCTCCCTTCTCCTCGTCCTCCCTATCACAGGGAAGTAATTTCACATCCCCCTGTACACCCTCTCTCCCACCCCCACCGGTCTAGTCTCCTTCTCTTCCTTATTGCCGCGTGCCGAAGCTTTAAGGAATTTGGGAGCTGGCGTCACGCGGGCTGCCCATTCATGCCATCAGCTCGTTCGGGCCTCCTCGAGAGGTGGCCCCCCGTGGGCAACGCAGTCTAGTCCAAGGAGACTCCCAGACGCGGCTCCGGGCGACCACAGGCACATAGAGGCTGAGACACCCCTCACGAGCTGATGTAGCTCGTGGGAGACACAGCGGTCGCCCACATCACCCGGGCCGGACAGCACTCTCCGTGCCGCCGCCCTGCCGTCCTGCCAACAGGAGAGCGGTGCACACGGTCAAGAGCATCTGTCGGCTACGCGTAAGAGTGACCCCCGGGTAGGAGTGACCTCTGGTGCGCGGCTTTTGGTGGGGCCGCGGGGATGCCAAATCCCAGGCGCGCTAGCCGCTGCTACCGCTTCGCGTTCCGCCACCTGGGGGCCCATCTGTGCCCGCACCAGAGGTCGCTCCGGCGAGAGGTCACTCTTGCGTCCAGTCGATTTTGTTTAGCGCGTCGCCACGGCAGCCTCAGCGACACGCTGTCCCATGAGAACGGATGGCGTGTCGCTCCGTTCTGCGGAACGGCTCGGGGCGTGGACGCTTGGGGGCCAGGAAGTGGATAGCGTGTCGCGCCGAGGCGCGGTGGGCAAGAACCGGTGGAGCGACACGCGATCCAAGACTTGTCGACCGTGACAAAGACGCAGACGACGACGACGACGACGACGACGACGACGACGACGACCACGGGTCGTGGGTGATAGGGTGGAGAGAAAGCCGTCTTTCGCCCGCCTGTCGCCCCGACTGTTTCGAGGACGACGGCTGCGAGGCGCACCGCGCTCATGTCAGGCTGAGGACGAGGGGGAGGCAGCTCTCCCAGCAGCAGCTCAGGGCTTCAAGGGCCCAGAGGAATAGCCTACGGTCGGAGACTTCTGGATACTGTGTCGCCGCGGCGGCCCGTGCGATACGCTACGCCCTTCAAGCGGAAAACGTGTCGCTCAGCTCCGCGGGGCGGGAGGCTCGGATGGCTCGGATCGTTGACGCCCTGTGATCCGGAAGCGGTTATAATTTCGCGCCGAAGCGTGGTGGGCCAGAATCGGTGGAGTGACACGCTATCAGAAGTTCCCAACCGTGCTGACTTTCCATCGAGCGAGTGGCGAATCACGAGTCGCTTACTTGGTCCCATTAGTGTCCGCCTCGATGGGGGCCATTTGGCCTGCGGTCCCCACACTTGAAGCTGCATGCCCCTGGCAACGGTTTCCCGTGAAGCCCTTCTATCGGAATTCCGATCTGATCCGATCCTCCGATCCTCCTCCTCCTGCTCCCTCGTCCTCGTCCTCCTCTTGGTCGTCGTCCTTCTCCTCGGCCTCCTCATCCTCGCCATCCTCTTCCTCCTCCTTCCCTCTCATTCTCCCCCCTTCCCTCCCTCCCGCCCTGCGTCATCCTTCCTGCCTCAACCTGCCTCCTTCCTCCATTCTCCCTCCTCCCTCCTTCCCTACTCTTCGACTCCTGGCCCCGGGATGGAACCTACAAGCGTTCCCACCAGGATCGATATCTACACAGACGGAACCGCTGGCGGTTTCAAGAATTGGAATGACTCAAATTGCCCTCCAGCTTGGTCATTCGTTGTCATTGCGGAAAAAGAAGCTCACAGGTGGCTTCTCGGTTACGCTGCTCGTACCATCTCCGCATCGAGCATATATCATCCGTCGCTGCTGTCAGCAGCTGCGGAGTTTGAGGCGGCTATATGGGCCGCCACATGGTGCATACAACATGCGGATGTATACAACATATCTGTGACGATACACACCGATAACATGGAGGTGGTCAGAGGTGCTAATCTGAGGGCCCTCAAGGGTAATATTTTGGAGCTCAAACGTACTCTGGATGGGCTCGTTCAGGTCCTCAAACGGCAGGCGCAGGCCTTCACTTGGGCCCACATTTCAGGTCACCAGGGAGCCCCTTGGAATGAGATGGCGGACACCCTTGCCAGATTTGTTGCCATGGACATTTTGCCTGAGTACCCAGACTTTCAATGGAGAGTCCAACTGGACCTGCCATGGTACGCTCGGGCAATTCCGTGGCTGTGGACAGATTTTCTCAGTACCGAGCAGCGCTCACAGTATCCGCCTGTGCATAGGGTGCCGTTGCCGCCAGCCCTGAATCCCACCACCTCCATGAAGGATTACATACCAGCTCCCGCGGAAGCCGCCACCCCCACCTTGGGTCACAGACTACAGCATAGAACGCCCAAGTTCTGGGTCGCTACCGCCAACGTTCTTACCCTACATCCCAACATCTGGGATGGCTTACAAGACTCTACGGGTCCAGGGCCTGGAAGGCTCATGCAGTTGGCTACGCAGTTTTCTGCTCAACGGTATCTCTTGGTTGGGGCTCTGGAGACTCGGTTACGTGTACACAAAGCACAGACTGTGGGTGAATACTTCATCCTGCACTCTACTGCTACCCCTCAGGGCTCGGACGGGTGTGCTCTGTGGATCCACGAGGGTATCGAGTACCTACCAGGCCGCCGTATCACTAAGCAGATGTGTCGAATATTACACGCGGAACCAGCCAGACTGATTGTGACGATTCGAGGGCACGGCATTTCAATCAATGTTATTGTGCTGCATGCTCCCCACTCACGTTCCAAATCACCTCTGCAGTCTCCTGAGGTCAAGGTTGCCGAGTGGTGGGACACCACTCTGCAGCTCGTGAGGAATACACGCCCCGGTGCGGAACATCTCATCACCCTAGCCGACTCCAACGCTGCGCTGGGAAGCGTTGCCTCGCCAGCTGTGGGCAAACAGGATGAGGAAGAGGAGAATTTAGCAGGAGTGCACTTCCATCGGTTCCTCTTGGACACACAACAATGGGCTCCCTCTACGTTCCTCCCTTCCTACTCGGGCATATCGGGCTCCTGGACGGCACCTTCCAACAAAAACAAGGCACGGCGCAGAGACTATGTAACTACTTCGGACAGTGTGGCCGTCTTGCAGCAGGGTGTGGACGGAGTGGTGGATCTTACTGTCGCTCAGGAGGATCATCAGGCTGTAGGTGCCTCACTTCTCTTGCCTCCCTCAGGTTGCATACAGGAGATCACATCCACTCACCGTATACCACACGACCCAGCTTTGCTCCAGGATCCCGAGGCCAGGGCAGCCTTCATACAGTTGCTCCAAAGGGCCCCTCATGTGGAGTTCGCTACACACAGCTCGGATCACACACATATTCTGGACCTACATGTACGTACATGCGTGCAAGAAGCTTTCCCTGTGAAGACTACGGACAGGGGACGACAGCCGCGGCAGGGCTGGATTCAGAGGGATACAATGAGTGCCATTGACCTACGCACAAAGGCGCTAAGGCAGGCTCGCCAGGTGCGGAGCACGGCAGCCAGGGCAGCTAGTGCAGTTGTCTTTTCTTTTTTTTCTGTGGGCGCAACATACGCACAGTGCTCGGCTGCTAGACCTACACTTTTTCGGACGGCCTCTTACCACCCTCCCTCCCAATCACGCTACGGTGGTCCTATCTTGGGAACGGTGCCGTCGTGCTTTCAACGGTCTTGGGGAGGCTCTCAGGGACATCATGGCTGCCTCTGCAGCTATGCAAAATGCCGATCCGTCTAAAAGAAGACGGGCCAAGTGGCTCCGACTTGCTCATCGGCCTGTGGACCGACTCTCCGTCATCTCGGACCCTGCTAGCATCCTCGGGTTGGGAGGCTCTGTCTTGGAGTTTCTCGAGGCCCTCTGGGAGCACATTCAGGACGTGGAGGGCAAGACTCTTGCCATTAGGGAGCTCTTCCAACTACACAACACATATGTGATCAAATGCTTGTCAAAGCAGAACGCCATGATGCATTACTACGGACTAGCCGACATGTTGCAGTCAGAGTGGGGCAAAAATGCAGCAGACAAGGCTTTTGCTACTCTACGACGCATGGGTGCAGGGTCTAAGAAGAAACTTGTGGTGCAAGCCTTGACGGCAGTCAGAGGCAAGGATGGCCAGCCAGCTACCACAGCAATGCAGGCAGCCAACATCTGGCTTTCACATTTTGGCAGAGAGGAATGCTCTGCCATTGTTCCGCTCGAGCATGCCCAGGATATTCTCGACATCCTACCCCCGCTGGAGATGGATACTGACAGGCAACTACCAGATGAAGATGTGTTCCTCCCCTCACTCGCCGATTTCCAGACAGCCTGCTCTCGTGCGAGGCCCAGTGCAGCCAGCATTGACGGCATCACAGGACGCCTGCTGGCCAATTTTGGGCCCGAGCTGGCTGAGCTCTACTTTCCAGTCGTTGTGAAAGCCATCCTGCGACTTGAAGAACCACAACAATGGAAGGGGGGCTCATACTGGCAGATCTGGAAACGATCTGGGGACCCATCCTGGCCTCAACATTCCAGGGCCGTCACGGTTTCTCCGCAGCTGGGCAAAAAATGCACGTCCCTGGTCCGTACTCCTCTCGCAGTTGCTCTGCCAGGATATGCTGGTGAATCTCAATTTGGGGGTATTGCTGGAAGGGGAGTGGATCTAGCTGGCCTAGCTATGCGCACGTTTCAAAACATTGCCGAAATCAAGCACACCTCCATCATGTACCTACTCATCGACGTAGTACAGGCTTTCTACAAATCTGTCCGACGGCTGGTCATGCGATCAGGACACACACAGGAGGACTTAGCCTTGCTCCTCAAGACGACAGGCCTACCACCTGAGGCCATGCAGCGTCGAATGGAGAGGTTACGTACACAGGAGACCAGTCATGTCCAGGCCCTAGTGGCCTCATCCTACCAGGGTGCTTGGTTTCACTATCCAGGTTCGTCTTTGGTCGCCTTTTCTATGATTGGGACGGTCCCGGGGCAGCAGCTGGGAGATGTCATTTTCAATTTCATCATGGCGGAATGTATGCATCTAGCTAAGGAACAACTCCAGCACCTGGACCTTGCATTTAAGGTACCTACGCTGCCAGGAGCTTCTGCCACACAGATGATGGAGCACGAACCGGCAGAGACACAACCAGCCTTAGATGTGCTCTTTTTCGACGACGGCGCGTTTGCCATGATAGGCGAACCACTCAAGCTGCTGGAGCAAGTGCCTCAGATTGCAGGCACGGTGGCAGCACCATTTGCGTCCAGAGGTCTTTCTCTCAATTTCAAGCCTGGGAAGACGGAGATCCTCTTCCAATTTCACGGGCAGCATGCTAGAGCGGCTCAGCTCAAGCTTTGGAAGCACATGAAAGGCAAGTGGGAATGGGAGGACCACATCATGGGGCACATGAGTCTTAGCGTTGTGAGGCAATACCCCCACTTGGGCACCATCTTGGATGAAAGAAGCAGTTTGGGCCCCGAAGTGGCTCATCGTATCGCGGGCACCACCTCTTCGGCGAATGTCTTGGGCAGGAAAGTGTCCAAAGTGGTCCCCAAGAGCCCCGAGGCTTTCATCATGAAGATGCGTTTTGTGGACTCACTACTTACCTCTTCTTTGCTGTTCAACGCTGGCACGTGGTGTAATTTGGAACGTGGTGCACACGACAAACTTAGGCATACTATGCTTAGGAGGTGCCGGACTGCGTGTGGCATGCCACAATGTGACGACACTGCTACAGCGGATCGAACAGTTCTTGCTACGGTCCAGAGGTCCGACCTGTCAGACCAACTTCGCGTCCACAGATTACGTCTCCTGGGCAGGGTCATCCATTTTGGGTCCGACACAATCAAGGGCTTACTCACCACGGCCTATAGGGCCTACTCGGGACCCAAGGACAAAACCTCCTGGCTACACCATGTTACGGACGATTTGGTCTGGCTCAGAACAGTCAGCAAGCAGCTTCGAGAGTTACCAGACCCACGCGACGACTTCGCACCCTGGGAGCGAAGAGTACAGTCTTCTCTTCCTGCATGGAAGCGCCTTCTCAAGGAGGCCATAGCAGGATCGGCACGAGCGAAAGCGAATGCTGCTCTTGCAGAGGGAGCTGCAAATAAGTTTTTCTCTATCGTCCAGCCTAGCGGCTTCCCGTTGCCCATCACAGATCCAGAGCACCCTTTGCGACAGGCAGAAATCATTCCGCAGCCAAACCTCACATGCCCTTGGTGTGCGACACATTTCCACAAGCTCAAGTCCCTACGACAGCATATCGTTTAGAACCACTTCCGTATGGTGTCGCAGGTTGAACGATTTCTAGGACGCAGCTCCGAATGCCAGGCCTGTTGCACGGAATTCGCCTCGAGAAGGCAGCTACGCGATCATCTTGCATACGACTCAGCTCGATGCTGTCTTGCGTACATGTGCCGAGGTCAGCAGTTGGAGCATGAAGAGGCGGTCATGGCCGCTGAGGAGGATAGGATGCTGTGTGCTAAGAGGAGAAAGGACGGTCTTGGGCGCTGGCGCACGGCTTACCCCGCTACGCTGGGCACCAAGGAGTGTCTTTGGGAGTCTGCTTGGGTTTTCTTGCATCTCACGGAGTCGGAGGCTCGCCAAGTCCTGCAAGAGACCCACTACGTGTTCCCCATAGAGGCCCTACCGATCCTACTTCGTGCTTGGTACGACTCCCGCGGGGCCCCTACGTCAGAACCTCCACGGGCCCAGTTCGAGGACAGGTATTATATTTTCCGACCTAACGACTACTGTGGCATATCTACTATGGCTGTGCCGTACAAGTTGCGACGACCTGAAGTATTCATATTGAACCTTTTCTGTGGTCGGCGCCGACAAGGCGACATTCAATGGCATCTATCCGACCTACAGGCCACATCTGACATCCAAGTCACCACACTGTCTCTGGACATTGCCATTGACCACATCTGGGGAGATCTGACTCGGGAGGCCACGATACAAGAATGGTCTGAACAGGTACGTCACCGCAGGGTATGGGTTACAGGTGGGGGGCCACCATGCGAGACTTGGAGTGCTGCTCGCTGGAACGACGGGGGCCCTCCCCCTTTGCGCACACAATCATACATCTGGGGAGTGCCGTGGTGTACGGAGGCGCAACACATGCAGGCACGTACGGGCAATCTCTTACTGTTTACAATTACCCAACTGCTTGCCGAGCATATCCGCGCAGGCACGTGCGGGTGGATAGAACATCCACCTCCTGCTCTCTGGCGCCCACAAGCGCCTTCCAGCTTCCAGTGGATGCCTATGCGTGCTTTGGAGAGCTGCCCACTTGTAAGTACTAGTCAGTTTGATCAGTGTATGCATCATGACGGGAATCCTAAGGAGCACGGGAGAGGAGCTACCCGCATCCTGGCCCTACGTCTACCTCGACTCTACAGTTTGCTAAAAGTTCGTAACAATGGTTTCTGCAACCACGGGAAGAATGTCCACTTGTCCCTGGTTGGCAAGAACGACGACGGCACTTTCAAAACGAGTAGCAAGAAGACGTACCCACCATCCATGTGCAGTGCTATCGCTACAGCCATGTGGGACGCTATTTTTACTGCATTTAACTCGGAGGCAGGAGATCCTCCAGAAATGCCAGCCACCACGGATTTCGACGATGCTGTCCTACGTCAATTTTATGTACCCTGGTCGGACCACGATCAATTTTGGGAGGCTCCCGACTATGCCGGCAGCCTCAGGGTCAAACGTAAAGTTGATCCCGAAAGGTGGCGTTGGGACCCCCCTGACTCCCCCTCCTCCGCCTCTTCCCCTGCCCCTTCCGTGCCTCCCGAGGTTCCTCTGTCCGTGGCCCTAGAGGATCCGCGGCCGCAGGAGTCCGCTTGCGACCTCGAGGCGGAGGCGGTCTGCCCCGCCCTTGGCTCGGCTACCTTAGCCGTCCCCCCTCCTCCTCCTCCTCCTCCTCCTCCGCTCGCTCAGCTCACGCCTGAGCAGCTTGAACGCATTCGCAGGAACCGTGCAGAAGCCAAAGAGCGCAAGCGCAAACGCGTCGCGCCATGGCATTTCGAGGCCATTCTGTGGCCCCACGGGTAATTTGTCTTGTTCCTTTTTCGGCCCCAGGGTGACATCGGCCCCGAGGACCTTCAAGGCGCACGACCCCAAGAGACAGACAGAGCACGACCCAGCGTCCCAGCCTGCGTCCGACCGACCTTCCCTACTCCTTCCTTCTGCCTCCCTCTTCCGTCATCCGCGGCTCTGGGAGGGCACCTGAACCAGGGAGACAGCGGAGGTACTCTTCCCCCTTTCTGCGCTCGACAGTCTGGATTCTTTCTTGGTGGACGGAGGTCAACCAGGTGGCACCAGGCGGACAACGATAAGGGTGCAGTCCAAACTGATGACGATGCGCGGTAAGGATGCAAGCCCCTTGGACGCCCATGTCGAAGCTTTCCGAGCGGGGCTGGCAGTCGAAAGGGGGTGGGGATGGACACAGGATGCAAGGATGCAAGGGTAACCTTCGGAAGGTTGTCCATCTTTACTATAAATTTCGACTGTGAGGCCGTTGGGTCTGCTGGCCAACTCTTGTCAAGCTTAACGACCCTGGAATGGGATTTGGATGAAGCCTCCGAGTGCTGCTGGCTCGTGGGAGTGCCTAGGGCGAGCCCTGCCCCCAGAAGGACGAGGAGCCGCAACCAGGGGGAGGGTGAGCACCTAACGAGAAACGAAAGCCGGCGCGACACCAATGAGGGGAGCGCATCGTAAGTGGCTTTGCTTGGAACTCCCTGTCACTGCAACGCTTCGCAGGGCATTGCAGTAGTTCGCGCTGATTGACATTGCCTTGGCGTTGCATGGCATTACTTTGCAGTGCGTGGCAATGCGTGGCCTTGCTTGGCATTGCTTGGCATTGCGTGGCAATGCGTGGCATTGCAAGAAGGGCCAATACCAATTACCAAGCAGCAAAGACCAAGGAACCAAGGAACAAGCACCAACATAATCAAAGAACCAAGGAAACAGGACCAAGGAACCACGGAATCAAGAATCAAGACAAAGGACCAATGAACCAATACCAAGGAGCAGGAGGAAGGGAGCAAGAATCCAAGACCAGGGGACAAAGGGAACCAGACACGAGGAACCCGAGGAATGCCAGCTGGCCAGACCTCCCACCCACTGCCTTGATTCACATGTAGATAACAAGCACGTGTAGAACGCCCAGTCATGAAGACATATGCGGATGCCCCTCTATACCCCCCCCCGGACCAATCTCCCTCTCGTCCTCCCTCCCCGTCCACCCTCCCTCACCTATGACGGGGCAAGGTCACGTGGGGAGGGCAGCTCAGACAGGGACACATCGAGCTCGAGTCGGCGATATATCGCCGATAGAGTGGCGACACGCCCCAGATGGAGAATCCGCACGTGCCAGGGCGGGGCGGGTTATCGGGCCCCTATCGGCGATGAGTGGGCGATCGACGGTCGGTTCGTCCCACCCTGAGCCTACCAACCCCGAGCATCGCCCCCGAATCAGTGTCCTGCTCCTTTGTGTGGTGTCTTTCCGTCCCCCCGCGGATGCGGGCAAGAATTGTATCCATGTCCGCTGGGTCTTGGTTGGACTTCCAGGTTTCCCTCCCACTTCATAAGGAGGTGCGCAAGACTCTGGCCCCTAGAAAAAGATGTTCACTACATGTGCATGTGTGTATAGAAATAGAGAAACATGTGTACCCAATGCGCCTCGGCCTGTTGGCGTCTCTTTCCAGCGAGTCCAAATCGCATTGGGTATGGATATGAATCCTGCCCGCACTGGAGAACGGCCTGACGGGAAAACGGAAAACCAACAACAACCCGGCGCGCGCGGCCCGACGGCCGCACACGGGGGCGCGCGGCCCTCATCCGCCACCGCGGCCGCTAGGCGCGGCGGACCCACCTGAGGGCACAAAAGAGACGGAAAGAAGCGGGTCTCACGCGAGATGACGTACGGTCGGCCTTGATTGGACAGGGCACGCGAGAGGACACAAGACCCGTCCGAGGGCCACATTGCCATGGGGAATGTAGGAAGCATGGGTCGCGAGGCACAGGCCGCAATGGTACCTAAGGGTACCCTTTTTGATTTGGCAGGGTCGACCTACGAATCAGGGCCGAGTGTAGCTACCTTACCCAGTGGCCCGCGCAGGCCGCCATCGCGGCAATCGCATTGGAAATGGGGGCGCTGTTCCTGCCACCGTGGGCGGTTCGCTGACTCGCTAAGTGGGCGTTGCGGGTAAGCCCACGAGGGCCCCAGAACACAGCGACGTGCCCGAAGGGCGGGCGCAGGCCAGGGATGCGAAAATGAATGCTGATGATGAAGCTGCGGAGGGTGACGATGGCGACGGTGATGGCGGCGAATACGAAGATGAAGCTGCTGATGGCGACTATGATGATGATGATGCGCATGGTGATGAGGACAGTGTGTTGCTACGACAAGCCCTCAATGACTCAAATCCACACACGATGCATGACTTCCCTCCGCGGCGTCAGCTCGGGCGGGAAATTTGGAACCACTCATGGCTGCCAGACGCAGCAGCATCCTTGGCAAGACGTCGCAGCGAGCGTGTAAAGCCTTGGACACACCTGGTACGCTCCACCATGCCAGGTAAGCGGTGGAACATAGCAATCAAGACATACATTTGCCGATGGAGCCTTCGAGGACGGCCAGGTTGGAGCAGTTCGTGCAAAGCCTCGGTTTGCAAACGCATATCCAATGAAAAGCCGTACCTTGCAAGTTGGCCTCTGAATGGCCCAAATAGAGAAGACAACGGCGGCGGTGCTTTCCAGTGAGCACCCTTGTAAAGACGACCAAGCATAGCAATGTCGCGCCGCATTCCTAGTGGCCCATGTTGTGTTCAAGTAGTGCTCCCTTCGGGGTCAGGCCCACGCCTTCCAGAAACATGTCTCGCAATCTGTCGAGATCGCGCAGTGTGGCTTCAGCAGCGTTGTCAACTGCCCGAGTGGCGCCCTCAATGTACGGCAGCATGTGGCACTTGTACAGACGAACCATCTCAGCAGTTGAGTAAAAGCGCTTCAATCGAAGTAGCGCCTAGAGCCTCCAGGAGCCTTCTGCGACGAATTGTGATACGGCCTTGTACATAATCAATCTGGTATCGAACAGCACGCCGAGCATCTTGAACGATTCGCCGTCTGGCAAGATAGTGTCCAACATTGGGAGCTGTCCATGTCCGGTTCGAAAAGAACCTGGCGGGCAGCCCCCCACCTGTGGAGAGCTGCCTGGCATGCGGCAGATTCGCGATTGATGCCTGCATTGCTATTCACTCTGGGGTAAGTGGGTCAGCAATTGAGGTCATCTTCGAAAGCGGTTTCAGATAAGCCGGTGACATTGATTGCTGCGAAAACGCCAGAAAAAATGTTCAAGAGTGGGGGTCCACGCGCGGTCCCCTGATACACTTGACTCTGACTCTCCAGGTCCTCGGCGAATGAACCATCGACGCAGACTTCTGGCAACCCGTGAGTCCAGTTAAAATTTGATGACCCTCGAGAGGGCATCGCAAACGCCACGCGCTTATAATTTCTCAACCAAACGACTGGCGTTTGATCAGTCGAAGGCTGCAGAGACGGTAGAACAGTAGAGACCCACCCGCTGGACAGTGAGAAGAGCCCAAATCCATGGGAACCGTCCCTGTAACCTCTGTTTCTGTGGTACGCGAGCTGGTTGTTTCCGTGTGAGCCACATTCATCGAATAATGATAACAGGAGTCGAGCGAGAACTCGCTCAACAACTTTGGGAACGCTGGATGTCCAGCGTATTGCCATGTGGTTCGCGAGGTTGGACTTGACGCTGCGCTTGAACAGCGGGAGTAAACAATGCGTTTTCCAACGCGACGGCCAAATTCCTGATAACAACACAAACTGGGTCAACATTATCAGAGAAATCTTTGCCGTTACACCATCAGGTCCGGCGGTGCAATTTTCCAGGAACTGTTTGAAACAACTTTAACCCAGCGGCGCGCACAGACAGGAAGCCAGACACCCTCTGCCCCTCAAGGCCTGACTCGCACAGTGCTAGTTTGGAGCGGGCTCTGGCAAACCGTACGTCGAAGGAAAACACGAGTGAAATAGATCGGCCTTGCCGGACGCTGTGGTAGCCCACTCGCCGTCGGGACCAAGCAGAAGAAGTTTGGAAGAGGCCTGGCCAACTCGTAGCACCAACGACTTGCACGATGCCCACGACCTCTTGTACGAAGAACTCAAAGACGATATCTTCTGCCTCGTTTGGCGTACGTATTTGGAATGCTCTTCCAACAGCCCCTGCGAGCAGGCTTTAGCAGCACGATCAAAATCTCAATCACCGGATGTGCGCACTTTAACTTCAATGAATGTTCGGCTCCTGTCGTTCAATGATGGGCGGGAAGATTTACGGAATTTTTTCTGTGATGTTAGAATGTGCTTTCTGGCTCGCTCAAGAATCGTACTCGCGACCTTGGTAGCTCTTCATCCGGGCCACATCCGACAGACAAGTCGCTCCAATTGATGTCGCCCAAAGATTCGCAAAAACCATTCCAGCGCGATTCTCTGCAATCCCAGCAATCCCTCTCAATAGGAGCCGAATGCTGTACGGCATGCTCCACCGTTTCGCCAAAGCCACCCTGTGGTCGGCGATCCGGGGAACCACCTTGCATGTGAGCCCGGCGTTAACGTATGTCAAGACCAAGTCAAGCAAGTCTTATCCAAGAGTCGACTGCCCGACTCTTTCCACCAGGCCCATTCGCGAGCATGACATCTGCAAGGTACAGCCTTCTTTGCAATTGCTGTGCGAAGCTTCGACCAAAAAACTGAATGCACGTTCGTGTCGCCCACGACGACGGTTCCAAATGCAACATGCCGGCCCTGCTCCCCTTCCCGCTCTAATTCTAGACTCGGCCCCGCCTGTCCGGGACACCGTGGCCGTGCCGGCACCAGACTCAAACTAAAAGACGACCATGGTTTGTTTGCATGATGTGCCAGGGACGGTCGTATTCAAGCGAAGCACACACGTGAACAACTCTCTGGGAACAACTCAATTTGTAAAACACAGCAACACCTCCGCACTGCCTCCCATCACGACCATCGGAAACGGAAATCCGGCAATAACCTTCCAAGTCAACCTCAGAAACCGTCTTGTCCAGGAAAGTCTCGGTCACAGCTACAAGATTTGGGAGATCTGCCACAGCAGGCCTGTGGTGAAGTTCGGCCGCTGGGCGAAGAAAGCCGCCGAGGTTCACGTTAAAAATGGAAAATTCTGATTGCAGTCCAGCGGCTCAAGCCCGGATTTTCGCAGACCGCCGTTGGGAGGGCGACAGTGCCCTGGATTATAGATGCACTTCTGGAGTCGATGTGCTTCAGCTTGTGCAAAGCGTGGACCACGACGTCGAAGTTTACGATGAGGCACTGTCAGCTGGGACCGTTCATCTGCCTCCGGGAGGCGGGCGTGCTGGTGATGATTGAAATTGGCTCGATCAGGGCTTGGGTATTCATAAGCGGCCCCGGAAAGACCCTACTCGATGACAAGGTGCCTAACATGTGCCTCGAAATTTCCCGTTGGGTCATCCTTGCCCTGACGGAAAGCAACAACGTCGTTGACAACCACGCGCCTGTCCTTGGAGCCCTCGACCTCCAACGGAACCTTCACTTCCTTCCCGGTGGATCGGGGGTTCCCTTTGATGAACGAGTCTGCCTTGCGAATTGCCCAATTACGCTGCTTCTGCATGTTCGCGCGGGCACTCTGACGACGATTTGCTTGCCACTCTACTCACGCCTGACGCCAGAAGATGCTAACACGCCAATCCAGGACTTCGCGACGTCGTTGCTGCAGAAATCAACATACGAAGCTTGAGACATACGAAGCTTGAGACAACGGACATACGAAGCTTCGTCGGCCAGAAGGTCCGCCAAGCGAGCTCGCCTAGCCACGGCCGAATGGGACGTGATGCCACTTTCGCAAGCCCGCGCGGCTCAAAACAACAGCCTCCCTGAAGCCACGGCCCACGCCGAGGCGATCCCGGCCAGCGCAGGCGAGGGCGGAGCAGCTAGCAGCGGCGGCCCGCACGAAGCCAGGCCACGGCACTCGCAGCGGTGGACACGCCCGCGGCGACTATCCTCGTGTCTGCCGCTCGGCAAGCACGAGTCCTCGCAACGGCACGCCAGCGCAGAGGCCGACGCGCATGGCCAGTCTTGCGCGCGGCCTGCTGGCAAGAACAACGCTGCAGCGGTACGCGCATGACGTAGCACAGGCAGACCCCCATGCCAGCAGTACAGTCGGACTTCATTTGACAGGACACGCGAGAGGGCACAAGACCCTTCCGGGGGCCACATTGCCATGGGAATGCAGGAGGCACGGGCCGCGAGACACACGACACAAAGGTACCCTTGTTTTGGCAGGGTCCACCTACTAATCCGGGCCGACTGTAAGCCCGTTCTCCGGCTCATGGGGAGCAGGGAGGTGCTGCTCTCTTCCCCCCCCCGCCCCCCGGCCCCCTGCCTCCAGTAGGCCCGGCTCTCGGCTCCTGGAGCGCAGGGGCTCGTTCCTGCCTCCGCGGTTGCCAGTGCAGCTCTTCGCTGGGGGGGGGAGAGAACGGGTGCAATAGAAAAGGGCGGCGTGCGTTCCTGGTACTCATTCGGAGGCTCGCCCTCAAAGCCAAACAACGTCTGCGCTGCGACTCGCGCGATGCCAAGCCAATGCGCACGCCCGTCACGACGCCACCACCAGAAAAGGAACCCCAAAACCACGCGGCCGCCGAGAGCACGGGGGTCCACATCCAGCATCACCGCCGCAACCGCGCCACCTCGCATGAGGACCATGAAATCCGTGATCACCTCGACGTGCCGACACGCGACGATCCACCTGGAGCAGCAGAACGACAGCATGCCGCGCCGGCGTGATGAGCCCAAGGGAGA